AAACGTGTCGGCGAATTGTTGACTGGAAGCCAAGAATTACAAAAAAGTCAATTTCTTTTAAATTTGGACAAATTAAAAAAAAATCTTTAGAAAAAAATACATGTTCAGAAGTTGTAATATAAAAACTAGCTATTTAGATATTAAAAACATATGCATCATTTTTTTTTGTTATTTGAAGTTTCATATGACTTTAAGTGTGTTATTTGGATACTATATTGAATAGGTCCACCTTATCTAACGCGTGCAAAGATTGTAAGGTTTACACGTCTTTCTGGAGGGGTCCAGCTGAACTTGGCCTCATTTTTATGGTTACTGATCTGATCAATGCTAAGATTTCCTGATGAAACTCTATCTTAAATGAGCAATAGTTCAACTATAATTAAAGCAAATTTGGTATATGGAAGTAATGTAACTTAAAGTGTTCATGTATTTCTAGTTTTGTTTATCTGACTTTGACCTTATCTTCTTGGATCAAGGTATTAATGTTTATGTGGTAATTGTAGTAAAACTTTATAGTTAGGACTATAAACATAACATAGATGATTAGTAAATAAGGCAAGTCATTTCACCATGTACATTCTTATACTAATATATGATGTATATCAAGATAATGATGTAAGTCAATAAGAATTTGTTGCCTAATATATGGCGCCAAATATTAGAATACATATTGGTATTAAATGTTGTAAATAGAATTAATAAAAGCTGATGTATATCCAAAAAGTATTGTTTATTAAAATAAAGTTCATACATTTAGATTACCAAGTTTGGTATTTTCATTAACTACCGTAAGCCTTATACAGTTGAGGACCTCCTCCGGGTGCAGGATTTTCTCGCTGCATTTAAGACCCATTGCATGGTGGCCTTCGGCTGTTGTTTGCTCTTTGGTCGGGTTGTTGTCTCTGACTTATTCCCCATTTCCATTCTATATGTAAAATAATTCCACGATGGTTCACGTTCCCTATAGATGTTAAGCAACCAACAATCAATCAACCAATCAACCCTTTCGAATTTGAAATGAAACATTAGCTTCAGAAGATGTCTGTACCTTTTTTTTGGGGGGGGGGAGGGGGTATATTTACCCAATTGATAACAGATTTGCCAGTCTTTAATTGACGCCATTTCTTAGTTTCAAAACTATATATCTAAATCACCGCTAATTACTACCAGAAAAAAAATATTATCGATGCTACCATAGAACACTAAATAACACAGTATTACATGGAACATAGAATTATCATTATGAACGAATTTCCAACTGCGTTTATGTATATGGTTAAAATCAAAACTCATTGAATATGTTATTTTATGCTAGTATGAATTACGTATTTATTTGCATTGGTGGATGTTATGTACATCCATACAGAATGTGGCGGGGTTAAACATGTTAGCGTGACTTCAACCCTCCCCTTGCGTGGGACAGTGGTATTACAGTACAACATAAGAATGAGCTATATAAATAAGTTGATAAAGGCTTAACTTACACTTTTGTTTCAGATAAGGGTGAAGGTTGGTACCTGTTAAAACGTTTACACCCGCTGCAATTGTTTGCACATGTCCTAAGTCTGGAATCTGATGGCCATTCATTTGTTGATGTAGTTTGAAGTGTTTCGAGTTTCTCGTTTTTTTTTTTACATTAGACCGTTGGTTTCCCGTTTGTATGGTTTTACACTAGTCATTTTTTCGGACCCTTTATCACTGATCAGTGTGGGCCAAGGCACCGTGTTGAAGACCGTACTTTGACCTATAAGGGTTTACTTGTATAAATTGTGACTTGGATGGATATTTGTCTCATTGACACTCATACAACATCTTCTTATATCTATTAAGTCAAGTTCATTTACCATATTCTTTAAGCAATAGTTGTTTACTATATTTGGCGTATGGAATGATTGTTAGATGTATATGTCCAACTGGCAGGTTTCATCTGACCTAATTTTTATAGTTCAGTGGTCAAAGTTAAGTTTTTGTGTTTTGGTCTTTTTTTCTTACATTATATGCAAAAATTCGACTAAAATATTGTGTATGGAAATATTTTATGATGTACATGTCAGTCTAGCAGGTTTTATTAGACCATGACCTCATTTTCACGGTTCATAACGCAGTGTTAAGGTTTTTTGTTTTGGTCGGTTTTCTTAAACTATGACCAATAGATCAACTGTTGTATGGAATTATTGTAAGGTGTATATGCCTGTCTGGTAGGTATCATCTGACGTAGCCTCATTTTCATGGATCATTGGTCAATGTTGAGATTTCATGATGATGTTTGTTTCATAGAAACTATAAGCAATATAGGGCAACTATATTTAACACATAGATTGATTGTAATTTGTACAGGTCTTTCTGGCATGGTTTACTTGCACTTGCACTTGGTAAATGTTTAGTTTTCCTGGTAAAATCTGTTTCCTAGAAGCTATAAGCAATATGTTAACTAAGTTTGGTGTATTACATGATTGTAAGGTAAACATTATATTCATGTTTGGTTTATCTGACCTTTCCCTCATTTTCTTGGATTAATTAAGTTTATGTGATGCATGTATTAAAGCTTTATATTTGGGATTATCAAAATTGAATCAATGGTCAATAAAGAAGGTGAGACATTTCAGCGTGTGCACTCTTGTTGTAATTTTGTCAATTTCTCAGGTACTCTAAGCAGACAGTACGGTCCTTATATTTGCTGTATGGAATGATTGTAAGATGTATACGTACATGTCCGACTAGTAGGTTTTATATGACCTTGACCCCATTTTCATGGTTCATTTGACAATGTTTATTTTTCACGTTTTATACTTAAATTTGATGTATGGAATGATTATAATGTGAGAATTATTGTCTTGTAGGTTTAAGATCACCATGAGCTCACCTCAAACGGTTAATTAGTCAATGCTAAGTTTTCATGGTTATGACCTTTCCTAAGATACTTCAAGTACTAGGTCAAATATATTTGGTGTATTGAGTGACTGCAATGTGTATCTGATGTCTGGCAGGGTGATTCGGACATCGACATCATTTTTGTCGTGCGTCTTCTGTCGCAGAAAGCTTGAAAAAGGGATACTGATCCAGCGGCGGTGGTTTTGACAAACTTCTTAAAAGCTTAATATTTCAGAAGATAGAAGACCTGGATCCTTCATACTTTGAATATAAATGTCTTATGCTATGAAGAATCCATCTGTTATATGTACAGTGAAACCTGGCTAAACCTAATCCTGCATAAACCGAAAACCTGTATAAAACAAACATGTTCTTAAGCACCGCCATATCAATTTGTATGCGTTGTAGACCTGATAACACAGAACATCAGCCTACACCGAACAAAATGTTTAGTCTCGAAAAGGTTCGGTTTAAACAGGTTTCACTGTATATTGTTCTTGACCTTATTTTCTTGGTTAGGGTGAGTACTTAAGAATTTAAGATTTTTAGAAATCGTAATTTCTCTTTAATTTTGGGATATAGGATAACTATGTTTGGTATGTGCGTACCTTGCCATTTGGTCAGTTTTTACCTAACCTCTACCTCATTTCATGGATCAGTGAACAAAGTTAAGTTTTCGTGGTCAAGTCGTTATCTGAGATACTATGAGCAATAGGTCTTCTATAATATTTGATGTATGGAATGGTTGAAAGGTGCATATGGCAAACTGTCAGGTGTTGTCTGACCTTGACCTCATTTTCATGGTTCAGTGGTTTAAGTTGATCTTTTGGGTTAATGCCTGTTTCCCTAATACTATATGAAATAAGTCAACTATATTTGGAAAATGAAAAGGTTTCACGATGTACATGTCAGTCTAGCAGGTTTTTTTTTTACCTTGACCTCATTTTGACGGTTTGTTGGTAAATGTTAAATGTTTGTGTTTTGATTTTCTTATACTTTAAGCAATAGGTCAACTTTATTTGGTGCATGGAATTATTAAAAGGTGTATACGCCTGTCTGGCAGGTACATTTGACCTGGACCTCATTTTCATGGTTCATTAATAAATGTTAAGTTTTCTTGTTGAGTTTGTTTTAAGGACAATATATGCAATACGTCAACTATATTTAAAGTATGTAGTGATCATAAGGTGTACATATCTGTCTGGCAGGGTTCATCTAGCTGACCTTGACCTCACTTTCATGGTTAATTGACCTATGCTAAATTTTCCGAGTTAAGTTTAATTCTTAGATACTATGTGCAATAGGTCAACAACTGGAGAGTTCGAACCCCGCTCATGTGCGCGGGTGCACTCTACTCCAATCTTAATTGACTAGGATTGTCAGTTTTCCTATCGAAGGTCGGTGGTTTTCTCCGGGCACTCCGACTTCCTCCACCAATAAAAACTGGCCGCCACGAAATAGCCTAAATGCGGGGCTTAAAAGTGGCGTTAAAACACCAAAAAATCAATCAATCAATCAATAGGTCAACTTTATGGAATGCTTGTCAGGTGAACATGTATTTCGTGTTTGGTTCATATGACCTTGACCTTATTTTCATGGATCATGTCAAGTTTGTGTGATAGTTATATTTAGTTCTATCAACATTGAATCAATGTTAGTAAAGAAGGTGGGACATTTCAGCGTGAGCACTTTTTTTTATTAATATTTTTTTAATTATGTGAACGTTTCATATAGTGTTCCGGGGGTTGGAACACCCTTTTTAAAATGGCTGGATCCACGCCTGTTTGTCTAGAAAAAAAGATTGAGAGTCGAAATCACACACAAAGTTGAAGATAATTGTCAAAAATTCTAAAACTTAAAGACGGCAACGGCCTATATATTACATGAAATTAAAAGAGGGGCCTTAGAAAAAAAATGTAGAAATGATATTCAGAAAATAAAACAATCTTAAAGTTTACATTTAACGAGTTACAATAGCCTAATGCCCCTACTCTTCAAATAATTACGAGTGTGAAGACCAACTTAATCTGCTGTTCTCTATTTAAACGGCGTTACGCAAAGTAATGTTACTTGGGTTCAAAGGGTGTTCCATAGAAATAAATTCGTGGTTATCGCCCTTTGAATCCATACCTGTATTTTTTTTTATTTATACACACAGTCACGACAATATAATTGCAATCGGCATGTGAGTAAGCAATGCTACTTTATATAATAATTTCAAACTTTATACAAGAACTGGACTGCAAATAACAAATACTATTACTAAGGAAATGTGCACTACGTATTTATAACAGATCATAACAAAAATAATAAAATCGACCTACACTCGCTGACATCAGTGTCATCAGATCGATCAGTGTCGATGTAAATATTTTAGGAGACAATATTGTTTGGTTCAAATCAAATCTGAGACACAAGAAACATGTTTTTTTTTAAATGTAAAGAAAATGTATATTTCTATGGAACGGCTCATAAACATTTTCAGAATCATATTGACCGTGTGTACATGGTGTATTGCTGGACTCTACTGACCAGTGCTCTATTTTACTGTTTACCGACATAATCTTAAAAACTTATTCCTGACCTTTGTTTTTATGAAAGTTGACCTTATTTGAAACAAATGAACCTGATTGGTTGTTTAATTTCTATTATGACGTCACCTTTGGGCATGTTTGTTTCAATGCTAAAAGTATGCCGAATTCGAAGACAACTTGACCAGTTCTCGATAATGATATAAAAAATAAAATAAGAACTATGATGTTTAATTGATAAAATGGACATTTTACTGATAATTGGTATTTAAATTTTACTGAAATGGTAATTCATTCACAGAAATTCAAAGATTATAAAATTTATCAAGATGTTTAATGATTTGAAAACTATTTGTTTGCGTAAAAAATATTCATAGTTCATTATTCCTCAGACTGTACACAAACATTGCAGTACCATGGCTCATCAGTGACATATGTAACACACCAACCGGAATTTACATAAAAGAACAAGCAAGTTTACCCAACATATATTGTTTACAGAAAAAGTGGGCAAGTGAAAATCTGAAGGGGCTCTACCTCTAGGGGGGACAAAAAATGATGTTACAAATGCCCTGGATTGAATATATTACTGTAGGAATCACATCATTTGAATTCTGAATGATTTTATAATTGATCCACGTTATTTCTAACTACTTAATATTTACTTAAAAAAAATGACTGGGTTTTCGAAGTAAATATCAGTTATTGATTTGGGGATATACGGCGGGCAGGCGGCAGCTGCCAAACAGTGTCTCCACCATAGTATGAATACACTGTTATGTTTTTTTTCAAATTTAGGTATGTTGTTTCTTGTGTCTTAATGAAGGTCAAGTTCGATTTTCACGAATTTAGCATTTCTCCTTTTTGAGTTATTGCCATTTTTAATATCCAAAAGTGGTATTTTTGTATATTTTTCTCTCGCTATCATATTATGACTAAGCTAAAGGTAAATGCTTTATCTCATAATAAAAATTGGAGAGACAGATTTATTGAAAAATTTTCTATTTCTGAAGTGGTGATGATTATAATCTATATTATTAGACAGTTTGAAGTTAATTACATTATTAATTATTATATATGTAATGTTAAAGTACTATATTAACCAGAGTTCTGTTCAAAGGGAAATAACCCTTCAGATTTTCATTATTTTTTTTTTCTTTTCTTAGGTAAATTGTTTGAAGAATTTTATGGTGTGTGTGTTATTCTGTAAAAAAACTATTTTTTTTGAGTGATATATGATATACCTGTTTTGTAGTGTCTGTTAATTAAAATTTTTAATTCTTCATGTTTGGGGTTCCAGATTTGAAAATTCATTAGATAATAATCTATTATTTATAAGTTAAAAAGTTAAAATTAAGATCAGATAAGTTGAAGATCTATATTAGTATGTTACAAATGAAATAAAAAATATTGGGAACTATCAACTATATAGACCAAGTTTGACTAAGTGATAAGATAACAGACACATCTGTTAATTGCCAATACAATCACCTAAGTATAATTTGAGTGACAGATTTATTCAAAAACTTTTAATCATATTTGATTAATTTATCAAAAAGTCTGTCAATGGTAATATACCTAGGTATTTATAATTACATTGGTCTTATGAAGTAATTAACATATCTAATAACACATGGGGGAAAATGTCAAGAAATAATTTTAGATAAGTGTACAGTATATGTATAACTGCCACGCTGAGGCAAGAGAATATTGAGAAAAAGGTGATCCATTTACAAATTTGTATTGATGCGTTAATGCATTGGTGCGTTTGAATATTAATTTACTTTTAGAACTTGATGTGCTTGTTGATCTATGTTTGTCTCTTTTCTGTAAACTCCATGCTTATTTGATAGATTGCTGATTTATTTTATTGATATGAACCGTGTACAACGTGCCTTTTCCTATTCCTATTCATATCACAATGCTTAAGTTAGGTCATTACAGAAAGGATTGATTGTTTAATCACATTTATATTTACTTCTAGAATAGACCTTTGGTCAACATATTCATTAAAAGTAACTCTAATCTGGTCATTTTAGAATAATTGTAAACAAGATATTTTACTTCATTGGTTCCTCGAAATCCAAAAGGCCAAACATTAAGTAACAATACAAAAATATAATAACATCTTAAAAAGAGGGAAACAAATTTAACATCAGCTCTTTTTGGACGATCAGTCTAGAATAGAAATCATTCCGTCTTTTTGTACCTGGATATATTCAGCTATGTTCATTGTGTGTTTTCTATTCATCAGACTCAACTTCACTCAGAGAATGTAAGAAGTGGACGAGAAAGAAAAAGATACAAATAAAATGTCTAACAACGAAAATACAGCTGATTCCATGATCATCTCATTTGATAAGACAACAGACAAGTCAAAGGAACACTTCGTCTTAAATGCTGGCGAAAATGACTATGAATGTAAAGTGTGTGGTAAACGTTGCAGTAATGGTACAAAGCTGAAGGCGCATATGAGATCACTCATTGATAAAAAGGCTTTCAACATATTTAAATGTGATATATGTGGTAAAGGGTTTAGTCAAAGTGGTAACTTACGGAGACACAGTACTTTGCATACTGGTGACAAAAAGTATAAATGTGACGAATGCAGTAAAAGTTACCCTGATAGTTATAGCTTACGGATACACATGAAAATACACACGGGTGATAAACCTTATAAATGTGACGTATGCGGCAGAGAATTTAGTGTTGGACAGAACATGAGGACCCATATGAGAACACACACCGGTGATAAACCTTATAAATGTGATGTATGTGGTAAAGCGTTTGGGCAGAATGGTCACTTACAGACACACATGAGAACTCATACTGGAGATAAACCTTATAAATGTGATGTTTGTGAAAAAGTTTTTAGGCATACTAATTGTTTACAGAAACACATAAGAATACACACTGGTGATAAACCTTTTACATGTGATTTATGCGGACGAGAGTTTAGTTCTGTTCAGAACATGAGCACCCATATGAGAATACACACTGGGGATAAACCTTTTACATGTGATTTATGCGGACGAGAGTTTAGTTCTGTTCAGAACATGAGGGCCCATATGAGAATACACACTGGGGATAAACCTTATAAATGTGACGAATGCAATACAAGTTACTTTGATAGTCATAGCTTACGGATACATATGAGAATACATACTGGTGATAGACCTTATAAATGTGGTGTATGTGGTAAAGGATTTAGTCGTGGACACACCATGAGGACCCATATGAGAATACACACCGGTGATAAACCTTTTAAATGTGATGTTTGTGGAAGAGGATTTAGTCAGTTTATGAATTCACAGACACATAAATGTATTCAACCGCATTAGGACATGTTGGATATGATGCATGTAAAAATGCCGAGAAAGTACTTATTCCACATAAAAGGATACAAGATCATGCTACTTTTTTAACTTGAAAACTGAAATCTAAATTCACATTTTTGTCGAGTCCGCAACTTCTGATTCAAAAAGCTTGACAAAGGGATAGTGATCTAGCGGTGACGGTCACTGCAGCGTTAACAAACTTCTTCAAACGTAATATTTCAGTACGTAGAAGACTTGGGCCTTCATACTATGTACATGTTGAATATAGATGCCTAATATTATGATGTTTTTCTCCGTCATATGTCCACTGTCTCTTACCTCAGTTTCATGGTTCAGTGACTTCTTGAAAAAAAGCTAAGATATTCGTTTAATATTCCTAATTTCTTATATATTATAAATGTGTTTGGCATGTGCGTACCTTGTAATGTCCTTATACCCGTCAAACAGTTTTCACTTGACCTCGACCTTATTTAATAGATCAGAGAACACGGTTAAGTTTTCGTGGTAAAGTCAATATCTCAGATACTATAAGGAGTAGGTCTACTATATTTTGGTGTATTGAATGATGTGTCCAAACTGGCAGGTGTCATGTTATGTTTTTGTGTTTTGGTCTGTTTTTCTTATATAATAATCAATAGGTTAACTGTTTTCAACCTACCATTTTTTTCATAAAATGTCCTGTACCAAGTCAGAAAATGGCCATTATTATATTATAGTTCGTTTCTGTGTGTGTTTCTGTTGTGTCGTTGTTCTCTTATATTTGATGTGTTTCCCTCAGTTTTAGTTTGTAACCCTGATTGTTTTTTTCTCAATCGATTTATGAATTTCGAACAGCGGTATACTACTGTTGCCTTTATTTGGCGTATCGAATGATTGTAAGGTGTATATGTTTGTTAGCAATTATCGTCTGACCATAACTAATTTTCATAGTTCAATGATCAATCTTAACTTGGAAACTTTAGACTTTGTCTGGTTAAAGTCATATGAAACGAGTGACCGGTGAAAAATAATGTTAATCCAATTCTTGCAACAATGCATACATATATCATGAACTGAGTCTCCTGTGCACGATTTTATCATTTTTTACGTATCCATTTCGTGTAATCGTCAAAAAAATACTTCACTTGGTCAGTGATGTTGTGAGAATATGTCAGCTGTTTAATGGACGTGTTTTAAAACCGAAGTTTACCGATTGTCATCTTTGTAAACAATCAACAAAGAAGCATGGAATTAGGTAAACACGTGTATAACATGTACAATAAGCTATAGTTTGTTTCGATGACGGAGCGAAGTTTACGTTCGGTTTCCCCATTCACATATGCGTATTTCGATCACCAGATTTCTACGAGAAAGGTCACGCTGAGGTAACAGCATCCAAAAACGTGCAGGCGATTGTTGACTGGAAGCCAAGAATAAAAAAAGTAAATTTCTTTTAAATTTGGACAAATTAAAGAATTTTTCTTTAGAAAAAAGTACATGTTCAGAAGTTGTAAAATAAAAACTAGCTATTTAGATAATAAAAACATATGCATCAATTTTTTTTGTTATTTGAAGTTTCATATGACTTTAAGTGTGTTATTTTGATACTATATTGAATAGGTCAACTATATCTAACGCGTGCACAGATAGTAAGGTTTACACGTCTTTCTGGAGGGGTCCAGCTGAACTTGGCCTCATTTTTGTCGAGCCTTCGACTTTTGTCGAAAAAGCGAGACATAGCGATCCTACATTCCGTCGTCGTCGTCGACGGCGGTGTCCACAAATATTCACTCTGTGGTTAAAGTTTTTGAAATTTTAATAACTTTCTTAAACTATCCTGGATTTCTACCAAACTTGGACAGAAGCTTGTTTATGATCATAAGATAGTATTCAGAAGTAAATTTTAAAAAAAAATCCGGTTTTTCCGTATTTGACTTATGAATGGACTTCGTTTTTCTGCCAGGAAACATTACATTGATTTCACTCTGTGGTTAAAGTTTTTGAAATTTTAATTATTTTCTTAAACCATCCTGGATTTGTACCAAACTTGGACAGAAGCGTGTTTATGATCATAAGATAGTATCCAGATGTAAATTTAGTTAAAAAAATATTTTTTTTTCCATATTTTACTTATAAATGGACTTAGTTTTTCTGCCAGGAAACATGACATTCACTTTGTAGTTAAAGTTTTTAAAATTTTAATAACTTTCTTAAATTTGAACAAAAGCTTGTTTATGATCAAATCTAGTATCTAGAAGGAAATTTTGTTAAAAATTTTGTACCTGTTTTACGTATTTTACTTATAAATGGACTTAGTTTTTCTTCCAGTTAACATTACATACAGTTTGCAATTGAAGTTTTTAAAACATTTATAAGATTCATAAACAATCCTGGATTTTTACCAAACTTTGACAGAAGCTTCTTACAATCAAAAGATAGTATTGAGAGGAATATTTTTATTTTTTTTCTCTCTTTTTTGTTGAGCCTGTGATTAGCAGCAGAAGAAGGCGAGACACTGGATTCCGCGAAACCCTTTCAAATTTTTATGGTTACTGATCAATGCTAAGCTTTCCTAGTTAAACGCTATCCTAAATGAGCAATAGTTCAACTATAATTAAAGCAAATTTGGTGTATGGAATGAATGTAAGGTGTTCATGTATTTCTAGTTTTATTTATCTGACTTTGACCTCATCTTCTTAGATCAAGGCAAGTGTATGTGATAATTGTAGTAAAACGTTATATTTAGGACTATCAACTTGATAAAAATGGTTAGTAAAGAAGGCAAGTAATTTCAGCGTGTGCATTCTTCTTATACTAATATATGATGTATATCAAGATAATGATGTAAGTCAGTAAGAATTTGTTGTCAAATACATTGCGCCAAAAATAAGAATACATACATGACATATTGTTATTAATCTTATAAATATCACACAGGAACACTGAAGTGCAACAAAAACAAACGCTAACTTACATAGAATTGAACTTTTTGATAACTACTGCCATATTTCTGAATTGGTACAGGATATTTTAAGAAAAAAAGTTGAGTTAAATAAAGAAAACTGAGGGAAACGTATCAAATATAAGAGGAGAACAACGACACAACATAAACACAACATTAAAATGTAACACACACAGAAACGAACTATAATATAACAATTGCCATTTTCCTGACTTGATACAGGACATTTTAAGAAAAAGATGGTGGGTTGAACCTGGTTTAATTGCTAGCCAAACCTCCCGCTGTATGACAATGTTAAAAAAAAGGAAAAGACAAACAACAATTTTAAAAACTACAGAAGGTAGACATGGTACGAAGTTTCTGTATGTCATATGTCAATTATCCTTGACCTCATTTTGATGATTCAGTGACTACATAAACAGTTTAAGTTTATTTGTCAAATGAAATACTTAGTACTCACTTGATTATGAGTAATATTTAGTATGAGTATTCCTTGCAACGTCTATATTTCCGTCAGGTATGGTTGACCTGACATGACATGACCTTATTTCATGGACCAGTAGTCAAGGTTAAATTAAGCTATGTGGTCACGTCTCAGATCCTATAAGCAATAGGTCAACTATTCTTGTTTTGTAGAATGCTGTTAAAGTGTACATATCCCTCTGGCAGGTTTCATCTGACCTTGTGCTCAATTTCGTGGTTCAATATTTAGTTTTTGTGATTTGGTCTATTTCTCATATACTATAAACAGTATTGCCACTATATTTGCTGTATGAAATGATTGTAAGGTGTAGATGTCCGACTGGTATGTTTCATTAGACCTTGATATCATTTTTATGGTTCATTTGACAATATTTACCTATTGTGGATTTGTTAGTTTATCAAATTCTATAAACAATAGCTTAATTATACTCGGTTTATGGAATGATTGTAAGGTGTACATGTCTGTCTGGAAGGTTTCAGATTACCTTGAGCTCATCTTCAATGGTAATCAGTCAATGTTAAGTTTTCATGGCTGTGTCTATTTCCCAAATACTGCAAATAATAGGTCAGCTATATTTGATGTATTGAATGTTAAGTAAAGGACACAATATGCTTCAGGGTGTGGATTGGGGTATACAGAATACAGAATGATGAGCAAAACTAAAAAGAATAAAGAAAAAATGGAATAACAAAATAAAGAGTAAAGAATTAAGAATTAATAATGAGGTGCTATAATATAAAGAAAAGAGAACAAAGGACAAAAGGTACAGAATTGAGAAAAACGGACAGAAATATTTAAGATAATTAAAAATTTCGAAATTTATATGACACTGCCTTTCAAGTTTGAAAATTGGAAGCGTACGTTATCGTAATATAATTGCTAAATAAAATCGTAAAATGGCAAGATTCATAATTGAAATACGGATACAAGAAGAGATTGCTCCTGATATGTCCGAATATAGGGAAACACCTTGGAGGTTGAGTTTTCATGTAAAAATGTTTTCTTTTACCTACTTTCTTAAATTTTCGGCCAAATAATTGTTTTAAAAAAAACGATGATTTCATCCTTACCATTACGTAAATAGTCAAATTTTTGTTTTTTCCTTAGAATTACAAAATACATTTGAAAATATCCACCCAATGAGTTTTCAAATACACGTTCATATGTTTTCACTTTACAATTAAGGGAGGTATAGTTTAATAAAAAAGGGTCAAAGTCACGTGGTACAAATCAAAAGAATAAAGTGCATAGGTTTTTGCCATATTCTGCCTTTACATCCCAGGCCCTGTACCCTTCTTCATGGTTCAGGGACTTTAAATCAATTAACAATGTTGCTGTCAACCAGATTGTCTTTTTCTTAATTTAACTCTGACAGGTGAGACATATCTCTGTACCAGCAGTTTATTTTAAAGTAGAGAGAAAATTTAAACTTAGAAACAATTTAGTATACGTGTCAATAGGTCATCCATGTCCGCTCGCATAATCTCATTTCCATGTTCAGTGAACCGTGTTATCTGGATCAAAAGTGTTAAACGCTTCAGGGATACCAGACTTATTTATAACTTGTTATGCCATGTCATTGGTAGATCAAGGGAGTGGTGGGTGTCCGTTAGTTAGAACTCGCTTTCTTTACAATTTTTATTTTTATTATTATTATTTTAATTGTATAAACGTTTCATAGTGTTCTGGTGGTTTGGGACACCCTTTTTGAAATGGCTTGATCCGCGCCTGCATGTCTAGAAAAAAATGAAAAGTCCAAATCACACACGGAAGTTGAAGACAATTGCTTAGAGTTTAAAAAAGGTAAAGACGGCCACGGCCTCCATTACATTTTTCTATATATATAGGAAAAAAACAGTCAAAATGAAAAAAATGTTCCCATCGTAAAATATATGTTCCAATGGGAAGAAAATGTGTCTCCCATAGGAAGAAAATATTGTTCCCATGGAAAGAAAAATTGTTCCAATGGGAAGATAAATTGTTCCCATAGGATAAGTTACTTCCAATGTGAACAAACTATTTTCTTATATGTTCCCATGGGAACTTTAAATTTCCCAATGGAACTTCTAAAATGTACTTTTAATCAGCTGTAGTGACAACGTTGACATGTTGGGACATATGGGATTTTTTTTTAATAATCTTTCACTTGACCAAATATATTTTTTATTATCTTGTAAAACAACAAAGTCAGATTTGCCAATTCTGGAATGGCTAATTTGTCCCGTACAGTGTTCTTTTCTTTAAATTTTTTGGCCATGCATGGTCCAGAAAATTAAACAGTCATATAATGCCATAAAATATGTGAAATTGATTTATGTACTAAACAATTGAAAAGGCAAATATATGTAGGACTCAAATCTTTATTGGGTTCCAGGTCTATGGCAAATTTCAAATCTAAGGCAAAGTTTAACGTCACAAAACGCTATACAAATCATAAATCTATGTCAGCTTTTTTGTTTCCGTCAGATCTATATGGCAGATTTTGATTTTTGCGTAATTTCCAGTGAAAATAGTGAACTATATAACGTCACAAATACTAATATAATTACGTCGGATTTTATGTTGGTTCGTATTGTTTATGCTTTGCAAATTCCGTACAGTGATAGTTTACGTTCCGGAACCATTTTCCTTTACTCCATCAATCACTACCACCGCCTTTGGTGTAGAGTAGTATGCGGATCGGAGCTGGAACTGCAGGGGAGTATGGTGTTTTTGATGTTATTGTTTCATGGTTGTTTCCGCTCCTTCTTTTCTCGTCCTCTTCTGTGTTGTTTGGGGTACCATGTCCCTTAATTATACCAGTTTTTATTGTGTCTTTGGAATGCTTTTTGCAGTTTGCTTTTCTTTCATACTTTTTTGAAAGGCAAAGCTGTTTTTTTCTTTACATTTTGTTAAGCCTAAACTGCAGAATTTTTACGCCAACTATCCAGTACTTTTGTACCAAATAATCTTTCTTGATATTTTAAAAAAGCTCTATCTTAGACTTCTAATACCCTTGAAGGCTGTTTACATCATTTTGAGCTAGTATATATACTTTGTCAGATACGTACTTACTGCCGGGTCCTCCGATCCATTTGCAGAAAATTTACCATAGATTTGGAAACTTCTAA